TAATAATAATATATGTATATAATAATAATTATATATATATATAATTATTATTATAACTATAATAAAAACTATAAACTAATTATTATATGTTTATCGTCGCTATTTCCATGAACCGACAAATACGAAGATCGCGATTGAAAAATTATTATACTTTTTGATGCCAATTTCTGACCTGAAAAATTAATTGCAGGATTCTTGTATTTATTATTTAAAACATATGGAATATATTGTAATTATAAGGTCACAATGTTTATATCAATCTATTAATTAATTAGTAATTAACTAATTTAAAATATTAATTAAGATTATATTAATTAAGATATTCGTAAAGTTCTTGTGAAAGTTATTTACATAATTGCAGTTTATTTATACGGTATTTCGACGGATATTCGTCACCTCGTGTGAACCATCCTGAGTTCTGCTTACCAAAAATACGTGGTAATCGCGCGATAGTATTAGCATTTGAATACATGAAAACATGAATTATGTGGATAAAATTATCATAGAAAATAAAGATTATTTTTTAAAACAGATATAAATAAAATAGATAACACCTTTATTTAAAAAACAAAAAAAAATAAGGATTATTTTTTAAAACAGATATAAATAAAATAGATAACACCTTTATTTAAAAAAAAAACAAAAAAAAAAAACATGTTTTGCATAGACGCAAGTTGAATTATTATATGCTGATTGCATCTCATTAATTAAACAATTTTTATGCATTTCGAGGACTGTTATTATTATTATATTATTATTATTATTACTACTATTACTAATATCTATAATATATATTTTTGTTGTTTTATTTTTTGTTTTATGTATGGGCCTAGATATAGGCTATGTATATATTTAATAATTAGAAATAATTATAATTTAATTGTAAAACATATATAATATAATGTTAACAGTATTATAGGCTAGGCTAGACCTAACCAATTATTGATACCATAATCTATAGATAAAAACATTCATTTGATAATTAAACAGCAGCTTTTCGAGTGGCGGTGCCGATAGAAAACTGCAGTGTTTTGACACTGCGGCAGTGCCGATAGAAAATCGGAGCTTTTTTCGCACTGCGGCAATAATGCGATAGAAAATAACAGCTTTTTTCGCACTGTGGCAGTGCCGATAGAAAACAGCAGCTTTTTTGGCACTGCGGCAGTGCCGATAGAAAACAGCAGCTTTTTGGCACTGCGGCAGTGCCGATAGAAAACAGCAGCTTTTTTTCGCACTGCGGCAGTGCCGATAGCCCCAGCCGCCCATATCGGCCGCTACCTATAGCGGCCGCCCTCCAGAACGGCCGCCAATGTGTGTGTATATGTATGGAACGCCGATGACGCATTCACAATTAATAATACAATACCGCTCGCTAAATACAAAACCTTCGAGTCAACTCGGCCCTCTTTTTCATTTTATATATAGGCCTACACACTATATAAAACTACTTAAAAAATAACTATTAAAAAAAAAATTGAAGTCACATTAAGAATTGTAAACATCATAAATATATAAAACAACCATTGCTCCAATCAAAACGTTCGATAGATTGAAGTTCTTCTCCAATAATGTATGGTATTCGTTTCTTCTTATTATTATTATATATAAAGCTAGTT